CATTTCTAGCCACTTGAATACCATTAAAAGTTCTGAAAAATCTTAAAAACATTAAATAACACATAATATTGATAATAGAATAGCTACAACTTTATGAAAGTCTATAATTTCAAGTTATTTATTTTTTCATATTTCTTGTTTATTTTCCATAATTGATGGGGTAGGGGAGATCTGAAAGCTCTAATATGAACATTGTATGTCTACTATACATTGTCTATACCTTAAATGTAAGAAGACATGCACAAGAACAGATTTAACTGAAAATGCAACGATCAGACAGCATAAAACTCAAGATATGAGGAATTATATATTACTGCTGAAAGCTAAAATGATTAAAAAAATACCAAGTTTTGTCCTTAAATGTCTCATTTCTAGCCACTTGTATATTGAAATAGGTTCTGAAATATCTTAAAAACATTAAATAACACATAATATTGACATAGAATAGCTAAAACTTTGTTAAAGTTTATAATTTTAAGTTATTTTATTTTTTCATATTTTTCGGTAATTTTCCATAATAAATGGGGTAGGGGAGATCTGAAAGCTCTCATACGAACATTGGTTGTCCACTATATATTTTCTATACCTTAAATGGAAGAACACATGTACAAGCACAGATTTAATCAAAAATGCAACAACCAGTCAGCATTAAACTCGAGATATAAGGAACTATATGTTAATGCTGAAAGCGAAAATGATTTAAAATGCCAAATTTTGTCCTTAAATGTCACATTTCTAGACACAAGTATACTAATGAAGGTCTTGAAACATCTGAGAAACCTTACTTAACACAAAATATTGATATAGAATAGCTACAACTTTGTTTGAGTTGAACATTTTGACTTCTTGTATAGTTTCCATTTTCAGCCAATTTTTTCTAAAAAATTCAAGGTATGTCTTCTTCGGACCAGTATTTAGATATGTTCGCAAGAATTATATGCTTCACAGGCGAAATCTTTTATGCAGGACACCCTAATATAATAAAGAATACACAGAAATTCCATCCAGCTCATAAAGTCATTTTTTCCTTAACGGAGCCTCTTAGAAAATTTTCCACCCCGAGTAATAGTTTCCGTCATCGCAAATTGATATTCAAATCTACACTTTCAAACGATTCTACTTTTGAAGAAGTTTATGGGCTCTTGTTAGATATAATTTTTTGTAATATTTTCCACAGCCATTGAAAATAGGCATGCATTTTCAATAAAAAGTGAAAATGTTGGATAACTAATAGACATACAGTACAATATCAGAATTTCCGCTGATTTAAACATTTTGGTGACCATTTAGTCAATGCAAAAATTATATTTAGACAATAAAAAATTGAGATCTAACTTAATATAATGTAACCATACCTTGACGATATATCTAGTAAGTAATAGCTCATCAACTCCTTCTCTGGGACATTTTGAATTTCCTGAGGTATTAATCATAGAATTAACACTATCTTCAATTTAATTGAGTACATATGGTCATACTTTGAAGGAATCTGACAATAATTGCAAAATCATACATAAAACAGACAATGAACTGACAGACTGACGGACGGAGGGCTTCACTGTATCCCCACTGAACTTTCTTCATTGGGAAAATATTTTATTTTTTTATTTATTAAAATCATATAAACATATATACATATAAGTGATAATGACACCCTAGTGGGTGTATGTCTTATCACAAGCTAAAGACTATAAACCTTATCAAATGAATTCTACCACCCATTAATGTATACTTGGACATCAATCTTACTATTGCAGCATGCATACAAGTGAAGATATCATCTTTGTTACATCTCTGTCAGCCATTTTGAAAAAGGCATAATTTTTTGATAATAAAGAGGAAGTTCCTAATTTTCAAGACTCAAACCCATACTATATTGATACTTCACCAACAAAAATGTATATTTAGGCACCAATCGTATCATTATAGTATGCATAGAAAAAAATATATTGTCTCCGTTGTATTTTTGGCAGGCATTTTGAAAAATTTGAATATTTCCAATATAAAGCGCCATCTGGCGTGTGTCTTTGGATAAATTTGATTCTATGGTCCTAAGGTACTCTCATGTCAAAGGAAACGCTTGCATCATAGATTGAAGTCCAGACCCCCTAAAATGCAGTTAACCCATCTACTAGGCGTGAAAATGATGGAATAACTTTTTCAGCCCTTTGAAAAAGTTACGAATAATGGCTAAAAGTAACACCTCGGAAAATGTGCCCAATACTGTATAAGTGGTAATTTTGCCTACTCATTTAATTTTCCTATTTCCTAATTTTTGCCAGGTTTGGAAAATTAAATGTCGGAAATATTGTCTTTATAATGTTATCCAATGGGAGGTTTCTTGTCATTAGGAAAATTAAAATTAGGAAAATGATGAAATTTGACCATTCGGAAAATTAACCACTCGGATTAAATACCACTTATACAGTATATTGCTCTGATACAATCTTTGATATTTTAGAAAATTGTCTGAAACAGAAATGACGGTTATAAAAATCCAGGTCATGCAAATCATATGTGGAAGTGGAACTAGTTAGATTGCCTGGAGGTTAAAACAGAACTCTGTTATCTTTGTTTAAAAATGTCTAAAAATGCAGCATGTTTTGTCACTTCCTGTTTTGACATTTTCTGTTAAGTACCATGGCACCTTAAACTGCCAATTTATGAACCTGAACACATTTGAGTAAATCCCTTTGTTTTCCCCATTTCAAAAATGTTTGGAAAATCTGCCAAAATTGCCGCCATGGACCTTCTGATCCTTTGTCCAATGTTATTTGAATGCCTTCTATATAGCTGCTATAACAGTGAAGTCCGATCTTGTAGGATGGAACCTATTATTAAATCAACTTAGAACGAAAAAAGCCCTAAGCCGACGTGGTCACCTTGTCTCCGATTTTCAATACATGTGTGAAAGACATTATGGTCCTCCAGGGATTATAGTCCCCCCTTTTAAAGGCCCTTACTGGCCCTGATTGTGTATAAGATAATAAGGGAAAGAGCACAAAGAGGTCACCATATGAATCAATGGTGTACTGACGATATAAAAGATGGTGTAAACATCAATATCACTTAGTATAGTCAGCCATATATGTACAAAACATGTATTTTTAGACTATATGAGATTTCAGTTTAAAAAGATGGCATCTAAAAACTATCTAATGAATCTTCTTTTAAAGATCATGGTTCGTTTGTATTGATACCATATAGACGATGATAGATGGCATAACTGTAAATTTTATCTTATATGTAAATGTGTGGGAACTTTGTGTTAAAGCGAACGTTTCGTTTGTATACGTACATGTAGTCTCGCTCATATCAATTCAAACGGTGACTCTTAACGCCCACTTTTTCAATCTACCATATACTAGATGCTGGATGCTAGATGCATAATTTACCTAACTAGGCTATTGATACTGGAAAGTCAATCCTCTGATTAATTATAAATTTATATTTTGATACGATTATTCTCAATAAATATTTTTAATAAAAATTAAATTAAAAAATAATTCGACTTATAAGTCATTCACTGTTGGGGCCAGCTATATATCAATACGAACTGAGGCAATATTCCTGAGGGACAATGTTCTATTTTACATTGGACAATAAATATTTAAATATAACTACTGATTAGAAATTGGACAAGGGGGTGGGAGCTTGTCTAGTCTCTCAGAGTCAGAGGCTCAAAATTCTAAGCTTGGACCAATCAGAATCGAGCATAGACTGAGGATATAAAATTGATTTTTGAAGTTTTAGTTATTAGACAAGGAGGATTGGAAGCCAGGGTTCCAACTCGATATTCTTTAATCTCCACGCATGCGTCTTTTGCTATTCGTGTCTGTATAATTTGTACGACTGCATGGAGAATGACCCGATACTCTCCAACAAAGCTATCGCTAGGTGATTGTTTTGCAGAATATCGGTGTTGCATTCTGGGAGCCAATCCTCCTTGGTTATTAGAAAAAGAACTTGACAATGGTGGAGTTTACAGGCTTTTTGGAAGAACCATAATTCTACTTCTTAATGCAAGAGTATATTAAGTGTAACTGATGGCTCAGAGCCGAGTATATAATGACGTCAATTAGAGAAGCAACGTCCCGCATCTTTTGGCAGATATTGTATTTGACACCCGGGATTTGACATCATAAGGAATAGATTGGTTGGCCAATTGTACATATTGCTTGTAATTTTGTCACCCCTACAGATCTGATATCTGCCTTTAACGTCCTTGTGGCTAGAAATGATGTAACAGGTAAACTAGAACAAACATTTTTTAGTTTTCTGTAATTTATTGTTGCATTTATTTACATAAGTTAAGACATACATTAAATAGCCACTGTGAGCCGGTATTATCAGACATATTTACGTACGCACGATCCGTGCGACTATATTTGTGTTACCGGTCCTGAAACAGCCCCCTATCATCCCCATCATTTTGAAATAAATTCATATTATTTCTTCTTTCCTTTTTTATACAAATGTCATTATATGAAATCTACATTTACAATGTTTAAATACACAACAGTCCACACTTTAACAAAGAAAGAGTTAACAAAAAATAAACTTAGTTAATACATATAGACATTAAAACTTGTATATAAACACATTTAAATAAGTAATATCATGTGAGTACAACATAACATGTGATATGCAGCTTGGGACTATTTTATAATCACTGTATACGTACATAACAACATTACATTATATATTAAAACCATGCACGTGTCAAAAATAATTATGGACTTTTCATTTTAGTATATATATAGAGTTGCAAATTTTGCAACGTGGGACAATCTGAACAATTATATATAAAATACCTTGAGGAATTCACTTTAAGCTTACTTACTACAATTTTTACATTGTAAATCCACTGAATATCAATAATAGCGACGTTTACACGGTCTCACAACCATTTGAAACATTGTACAATATGTAAAATCAGAACAAATCCACAGTACAAAAATAAAAACGAATGCATCCTCGTTTTGAAATGAACACGTGATTTTTCAGTCATAAATACCTACAATTATAAACACTAATTTCTCTATTCAGATCCCTGATTCACTTGCTATCTTTCCTAATCTACAATACGAATATTCAAAGGTTAATTATTACAACCTTCAGGTATGAGGTGCCTCCGTGAAAAATCGTACTCGCAGGCTATATACAAGGCGGTATACTTAATATGGGCATTTAGAACGCCTAACAAATTAAATTTTGAATTTACACCTATATTTTTCCATTACTTTATGAAAGAGACAACAAACATTGAACAACAATTTTAGAGACAGTATAAAAAATGCGGAGACGTTGAACACTATTTTCGTTACAATAACAATAAGGTATTTCTATTTCTTGTCGTATTCCTATTTAAATTGCTATTTAAAAACATATTTATTAAACCACCTTGTATTTCAGATTAAAATTAATTGACGTCCTAACATATAGGTCTACAACACAAATTGCATCACAGTCACATATTACAAATAAATTATATTCTTCCAGCATCCATAATATTTACTCACAATTATTCCCAGCGCAGTGCTCTGCGAAGAAATAATATTTTGAATGTCGGAAATACATATTTCAGCTCTACTTAAAGCAATACATGTACAGAAGTATCATATATGTACACCACTTTACATATATAATTAATTATGAACACATGATCCTCAATTGTGTAGTAACAACAACAAATGGAAATTAAAAGCGTCAGAGACGGGATTTGCTCCGTATTCTCTGGAAGCACCATCTATTCTAAATTGCACATTACCGGGGACCTCCAACAATACAGTACCATTTAAAAAAGAATTACTCCCCGTCTCAAAAAGAGCAGTACCAATACAATCAACCATAAATACTGATTGTTGTAGAACATCTTGTTTAAGGCCAGGTGTATGGATGATGTATTAATCCAACATTTTCCAGCTATAAGACCATGGTCTATTTGATGGAAACCTCCGGTACAATATCGTTAATTTAACATGTGGCTTATCAAAAGCAGCTACAACAGGTAAATGTTACATGCATATATATAGAACCACGTTTAACATTAAACAAACTGCACGCTATATATGTGTATTGACTGAATTGAGCTAAAATGTCACACAATGTGTTTACTTACAATATCTCGTACATTACATCACGTTTTTATTTTCACTCCAAATTTTCACCCTAGTCTGAGCAAGTGAACACAACTTGAATTTCTATAGATGGCACTACTGTATTCGGGCCTCTTTGACCTTGACCCATTCACCGGACTCATCAAGATTCGGTGGGTAATGACTTGCTATAATATACTATATTAAACACAGCCAATGTGAGTCCTTACTTCAGAATGGTAGCTGACTGTTCAAAAAGAGAGTTTCTAGAAATAGAGGTACTGGGGTTACTGCCTCAAGTTTGTGAAAATATAGTCTCTGTAAACCCTCCCTACTGAGCGATCTTAGGTCTGGAATTTTGCCCAGTATTCGAGAGAAGAAGTTTGACACCTTCTGAGCCTGACTATTATAGGTACAATGATCTCTTAAACAGTCTATGAGTTTCATCTGTAGTTCTTCCATCTTCTTCGGCTCTTTGAGACCATGGCGCTCTGAAAAACATCGAACACAATTCCGGTAAGAACTTGTCAATAAAACGAATTATGATTAGGCTAACACAAATATGATCATCCATGACATCCTGTCAGACCCACAGTTTGGATGTATTATGGTCCAGTTATATGATGAGGTGGACAGATAAAGAACTGTTTGTTGTTGCATCATTACTTCCCTTCAGTTCACACACTTACACAGGAATATTAATTTTATAAACGAAGGAATTGATACAAGACAACCAAATCTCAATATAAATAGAGTCATTAAATAATAAAATCTGAATAAAAAAGAATTGTGCAATATTTATTAAAAAATTAATCTACTCACGGGTAACCATGGTGAGAGCAGCCATACATGACAACGATGAGATATCTAGGGGCATTCGGTGGAGATTCAATCCAAACTCAAAGATTGAGTTGATCCAGTCACCAAATGTTTTCAAACATTGATGTCTATGCAGCACTTGGCCATTGCAGAATACAATTCGGTCATCATTCGGCTGTACCCTACAAAAACGGAGAATTGCGCTATGAAACCTAATGATTCTCTTGTCTTTTCATGATAATGGTATTCAAGTTAAAAATAGTAATTAAATTAAACTGGTTATGTGAGCTCAAACACCTATTATTTAACCTCTATCAGAAATTAATTACAATTTTCTCATTAAACTAATACTCCAAATGTATGAAAAACACTGCCCTCCCTCCCGATGTCATTTAAATCTTTTTGGAACATTTCGCCAAATATACTTTAGAGATATGAACCGTCACCTTTAAAGATATTCAAACTACATACACATTCAAAAAACAATTCAACTCAGACGAAAATGCGGAACATAACCTCATCTTGGACGTAAAATTTAGATTCTAACTTGGATCTTGAATCTTTTAGACCTACCTGTATGCAACTCGCAATATGAACAGCTCTAGAGACGCTGATTGGAACAGCAGCTCCTGGTCTTCCGCACATAGCTCTGTAAATCCGGGAATCTTTTCAGCCCAAACTTTGATGACGTCCAGACAGGCAATGAGGATTTCGTAGAATTGTTGGATCATATCACCTTGACTGTTGTCGATAGTCTCCAAGTCACCAGATTTGAACTGAAAATTAACGATTCATTGCTAGTTATGTATAATTTTGCACTATATGTACTCAACGGTGACCTGGATGTTCAACAAATGTATTAAATATCATGCGGTTTTTATGTAAATCGAGTGTACAATGTTTAGCATGGAATTTAATGTGAATTCATTTGCATGATAAATTATATTTTATCATTTTTATCCACTCTTGGATCTGCGCTCACTCGTGGAGATGGGCGATATCCACTCATGGATAAAAATGGTATACTTCAAAAATCATAGGATATCCTCTATATATGCTAGGCCAAATGGTAAATATAACTTACAGGAGTAAATTCATAAATAATAGTTGCTCAAGCTTATGTTAATTAAGGTCAAGAAAAGAAAATAACCAAGTACCAACTCCCAAGCATGGCCGTAAAATACTCAGCAACAAGCACCGAGCAGCACTTATTTGAAACGAGAACAATCTTCAAAACCAAACTTAGTCTCATTCATTTTAACATAGGTGTTCGTTGAGAGAGTTATTGTACACACCTTGGAGTAGTCTAGGTTGGGTATATCGGGGGCAGTATCAACGTGGGCGCGGACTAAAGAGGTGATTAGGCTGACTGGTGGAGATGGAGGTGACTCCTGAGGACTCTTGGGCTTAGATGGCAACCTCCCTCGTCTTCCCTTCAACCCTGCTGTTCTCACTACCTCCTTCACCATCCCAGTAGCCATGCATTTTTGAAAGCGACAGAACTGACATCTATTTCGCCGCCGTTTGTCCACTGGGCAATTCTTGTCAGCTAAACAAACGTATTTGGCGTTCTTTTGTACAGTTCTCTGAAAGAAGAAAACGTTAATCATCAATATCAAAACGCATTCTGACTTTTATACAGTTTTCTATGAGTTCACTAGAAGAATCATCAATTACAAAAACGTATATTACGTTTTTTCCTTACGGTTCTCTGAAAGAAAAGTAGGTTAAGCATTAATAACAAATTAATCTATGCCTGCATTAGATACAGACGTTGCCTTCATTATATTACTATCAATATGTGCTTCTCTAACCTTTGCTCATTAGGGTCCTTTGATCTCCATAGACCATTTATTAGCAATTACATTCAGGTTATTCATGAATAATTACATCTGTGAAATCTGCAATATCGTTATTTTGTGCAGGAACTGTACCTTAAAAAATCCTTTACAGCCCTCGCAAGTTCTGACCCCATAATGTTGACAGGCGGCGTTGTCTCCGCAAACAGCACAAAGCTGGCCCTCTTTGACGGGCATCTCTCTGGAGGGGGAGGAACGGGTTGAGGTGGGGGTGGGGGAAGTCCCGGGGGAGTGAAGGTTGCTGTACTTGGCCATATCCATGCTGAAAGACAGAGGGAGCCTGTCTGTATGGAAGTTACTCAACGCAAAGGACTAGTAGGCTAGGTCTGATTCATAACAAGTAGTTATATTACTCAAGACTGTTAGAAAGAACTGCAATTACTGGGGTGACAGGCGTATTAATTAAGCAGAAGGCAAAGAGTGAAATTACTTTATTGAATTTCAAGAGAAAATTAATGATGTGAAAAAAGGCTCTTTGCACACTAATGAACTTACCTCGAGTCCGGCGTGAGCGGGCTGTTGAGATTCATCGAGGATCGGCGCCCTGAGAATGGCTGACGGGCAATCTGGACGTTCAGATCAGCTCGATATGGTACACCGCCTTGAAACCCTGACTCTTGTGACAGCTTAAAGTCTTGTTCGAACATCCCAGCCTGGTAGCCTTGGTATGCATCCCCGGGGAACATTTGCTGACCTGCAAACTGTGAGATCTTAGGTTCTATAAAGCCCGCTTGGAATCCTGCGCATGAGCTGTTACTATAATCCGGGGCTTCTCGTTTCTGGAAGAATTCCCCTTGTTCTTGTCCCTCGCCGCCAAAAGGCAAGCCTTGTTTAAAATAATTAGGCACATTGTCAATAGGATATTTTTGATAATGTCCCTGATAGTGCATTATGACGTTAGGTTCCTTATCAGACTGAGTGGGACTGTTGCCTTGGGCGGGACGCTCCGATAAACACTCGTTGCTGTCATACATGAACGACTGACTGGTATAAGTGTCTTGAAAGCTTGGCAAGGAGTTGGTGGTGGAATAAGATTGAGTGCCCTGCATGGGATTTTCAAATGTCTGTTGGTAGGACTCACACGGCGGTGTTCCGCTGGTGAAACTTCCCTCGCTTGGGTACTGCTGTGGAAACGACGCTGTCTGATAACTCTCGCCTCCCATATTATTGATGCTATTAACACAATAGGCTGACGACGTCAAGTTCTCCACATTGGGCAAGCTTGAGTTGAAGGTCGTCTGAAAATACACCAAATCATGCACGTTAATTTTGTCTCAACTGAAAAACATGTGATCCGGAACACGATGCAATGTGGAGCACAGATATACATAATTGATAAGAGCGGTAAACTAACATCCTGAATAAAAGCATTCTTCAATTCGTACATCCTCTGAAAGAATTCAAACTTCATCATCATCGAGTGTGCTTATCATCATTGGTGATGCTCATCTAGCATAACAATCGCCATCACTGATCAGTCTTATGATTCAATTTAACACAGCAAATCGTATTGCCTCATTTCTCAAAGCCCATGTATTCAGTTTCTATAATACTTTGTCTACACATTTGTGTAAACGGTAAATCAGGCCTGAGAACCAACATGTCCTCGCACAGAACTAGAAAATGGTGAGATTAAATGGCTTAAAGACGCGGAGAATTTCACGGCAACGTATAAATCTCTTTTCTTTAGTTTCTGATTGGTTTCTACAGACTTTGTTTAGCCTCCTACTGTTTTAAACATTCCAATATATTTACAACGGAAGGCATGACACAAAAGAAAGAACATGCATAATCTGGCTTTTTGAATATTTCTGTCAATGTAATAAATTTTGCACATTAATGCGATGCCAATGTTCCCACGTTTTATAGTTCTCGTCGCAATTATCTTGTTTTGACTGAAGACGAGACACTAATGCATTTGGAAAGAAAGATATGACTATTGAATTAACTATGACATAAAGCCTAGTGCGCCCCAGGGGTGAATTTTCTTTCGAATTGGCTTTTTCGATATGAATTTTTGCGATTTCTTAAACTGTGTAATTACCAATTACGTAATAACTAAAGTGACTAACTTAATTAGTCGTTTACAATTTTTTAGTCAAGTTTTGGTGTTGTTTTTACTATTTTTCAAATTCGGCTTAGTGTATACTTTCATCGAGATGACTTCAGTTCCTATAAACGCTATATTGAATAATATAAATGTGGCAAAGTGACATGCCACAGTGCTATGTAACGTAACAGGTAATACAAAATTTAATTTAATAATACTAAACACAATCTGATTTTACTATGACCACAGTTTGAGATGTTTGAAACATTCACAAATTGATACATACAAACCTTAGTACTATTCTAAAAAATGAAATAACACTGCACAACTTCGTGAAAATTGATCGATTTAATGCATGGTTTAAAATTCATTTCAATTAATTCATTTTCTGTGTTTTGACAATATGAATATTTTCAAAGCATTGAAAATGTGACTATTTTCTATCATATTAATCAATTTTTTGCTCAGAATGGTTGATAATCATCAATATATATCTTAATATGATATGATATAATTTTATCTTTAAAAAAAATTAATTTAAAAATCTTTAGCCGTAGTCGGACGTGATTTTAAAACGATTAAAACATTAAAAATATATTGCATGCCAATTGCGGGCTATATAGAATTTTTTCTAAGACGCTTCGCAAATTATATCAATGATTTTTAATTGTTCAAATAATTGTCCTTTTTAGGAGCTCTTTGAATAAAAGGAATCATTATTTTACGCTAGACGCTCTGGGCCATATTTGTTGAGAATAATAAGATATAATTTTTATATTGAAAATGTCACGACAAGGCCTGGACGCGACATACCTTTCATCAAAAAGCGAGTTGTATTGTTTTAGTCCAATAGGGAATTGATTTAAACGGGTACATCAAAGCTTAGTAGAGCTTACCTTTTTAAATACGTTTTACTTTTCCATATAGGCATTTTATATTCTCGATGTTTTGTATTCTAATCCAAAACGACATGAAATAGAAACACGATGGGCTTTAATAAATTTTAATCATTGCTAATTTCGGATCAAGACCTTTTGGTGTAAATCAGGATTAAAAAGTTACAATGGAACTTTTTCTGACTCGGATCGACGTTATTGCGTTGTACAGACGCTTTGCTTTTTAGTTTGTGAAGACAATAGTTGTAACTCTATACCTTTCACGTACTCTCAGGCCATTACTGAATAAAGCAATTTGTCTCTATAGCTTCTTATTAAGACATATATTACTTCTATATCCCCAATATAAGTTGCCAAATTAGGAGTTTTTAATTTTAAGGGCTTTTTAATTGACGTTTGCAGAATGCACGGGGTTAAAAGTCAAGTCTATTTGTATAGGGTCACATATTACTACGCCATATTGAGAACCGGGTGTCATGGCGCGGGGTATGCACGTGTGTGTTAATTCGTGTAACACTATACTGCAATTTATCAAACGATTTTTCTGTCTTTTTTTAAATTGTAACATTATACTAACCATTTTTCAAACGACATTTGATTTTTAAATTCTACTTTGAAACAAATTGGTTAATTCTTATAGACTCCCCATGCAGCATACGCAATACTAGATAGTATAATATGTCCACATCATTAATTGATTCTTATTTAATTTTGGGTCCTGGACAGGTAGGATCCCCTTTTCCATTTATATATAATTACAACCTTTTTCCTTATTAGTTTATACTCCACCAGGGCATGTAAGAGCTAGACAGATATGGGACGATAAACCCTGGGCGCTCCACATCGGATTTTTGAGCAATTGACTACAGGCTCATTGATACTTTAGCCGAAATGTTTTTCGTATTAATTTGTGTTATGTTTACCTGCGCCTGTAGAACCAACATTGCTGTCGTATCGGAGCTGTTGTTGGGTAAAATAGTTCCGGTACTCGCCGAGTGGGGCGTCAATGCTTCCGCTGAAGACAGCCTGTTGGTTGTGTTTGTCGCAAGTGGCAGTTCTGGTGATAGTGCTGCAACATACAAAAATACAATGTTTTGAGTTTCTTTCTTAAAATTGAACATGATATTACTTGTTTATGATAACTGTACCTCTGAATCGTATGCCCTCGCACAATCCTAATTTGTAGTTAGCAAGTCTCCAATTGATATGGAAATTATACCATCAAGGTATAATCAGTCCTAAGGTTTACACCATTTAATGGATCTCATTTATCTCCCCTACCTATATCTAAGTCATTTTTATAATAAGTTGACGCGTTTCACTTAAAACCTCTAAATGTTGGAATCATTTATTTGTGTATTTTGGATAAATGTATGTAAATATGGTAAAACAAAAAAATATATTTACTTTTCGTTTTGTTTCGGGTTTAATATCTAGCCTGTCAGTAATCAAAATACAATTAAGAATTGAGGTTGGGCGGCAAAGCCAGCAAAAACAAAGTTAAATATATTGTATTTCCCAACTTTTTGAAATGAAGTGAGACTCGAGTGCAAAAAAACACAAATGGATTAATAAAGCCTTTCAGCCGTCTGTTTGTATCAAGAATTGGTAAATTGTAATTGCGTTCAAAGTTGCTTCAGGTTTTTTCATGTTTGCCTTTGCTTATTTGATGACTGTCCTCAACTTGACTTGACGTTTCGTCGGCATTTCATTCAAAAGAAAATCAACGATTTTTGTTGGAAACACGTGCTCCTCCTTGTCTACGTCTGTCTCGCTACAGTTGTTTTGAAAGTTTTGCAAACCTACTTCCATCCTTGTACCCGTTTCTTGTCTCTAAAAATGGTTTGGATTTCATATCTGGAGGGATTAGACAATTGTAGCATAAGTAAAGAAATATGTTTTAAAAAGTAGGTATATAATAGTGAAAGAATATGAGGATTGTCACTGTTACGCTATATCACTCATGAGTGCCCCTTGAGTTGCCAATTGCCAGTACCGTTCAAAGTCGGCTTGGCATACCCCTGTTAGCAGGAGATAAACTTTACATGTTTGGGTATACAAACAAGCCTTGACGGCATCCAAGAATAGGGCCCGCTTACTAAAGCCATCACATCACTTGAAAGTAAACCACTTGATGATGCATTTTACGCTGTTCATTTGTATATAACGACCTTTGTTTGTTCAGAAGTCGCAATAAGCAATAACAAATCAGTAATTATCGGGAAAATGTTTTAAGTTAATGATACTTTCCGGCGTATGCGAAGGTGATTAAACGTGCTCGGGTAGAATTATGGAGCTCTCGTTTGTTCGCCACCAAGTTCAGCCTTACACAATGACCCGCATTCTCTACAAGTTGTTAAAAAACTTGACGATCTCCTACACTAATTTGCCACATTTTAAAGTTATGTCCTAAGATATGAAACCTTTTTTTTAAATCGCGCTAGGTATAAGCCTATCATATCGCTAGGTGTGTCATATTTTCAGCAAACTTGAAATATCGGTAGGAAAGATCTGCTTCATATAATATAAATTTAAAAAAAAATCTTAATTTGGAAAAATCCCACAACTGTTGTTGAGACACTGTTGTAAAATTTTCGCCCAAAAATGGAACTGAACGTATTCACGAAAGCGCCTATTATAAGTTTTCGGCAAATGAATTCGCGTATATAAATATCCCCATCTAGCCCTCCTTTGAGACTAGGTATTATTACAAGTTAAAACCCCTCTCACTCAAACGATGATGGGGATATGTTTAAATTTCTTCAATCACTTAATTGACTGCGGTTAAGTCATTATCTTTTCTCACTGATTAAATTCCATCAAATACTCCGCAAGAGACTTGCTGACATTTTACTGTATTGGCCCCCTATTTCGTGACATTTTCATTTAATATCAATTAAATAGTTGTTATAGCAATTACGGGAGATAGGCAAGGAACACAATTTATTAATTGATTACTGGATGAAAACTTCCGAAAATTGTGGGTATACTTTTATCAGACACCGTACTTCGGTTAACCCAGCGATTAGGTTTCTTTAGTTGTTTGATGTGCAAATACTAAATAACTACTTTGATCATTGGATAATTTGAATTGAATTGAATTGAATTTTGCCAAAAAAATAAAAGTTAAAAAATAAGAGATCTAGACTAGCTTAAAAGCTAGCAGTGTAATCAGATATATTTTACACTTTATCGACTTAAAGGCCGAGTTCCGGGAAATATTAACACAATTGAACATGTTGAACAACTAATATACATACTTTCTGTGGCTTGGTTGAATGGCTATTAATCCCAAGTTCCGATGTGCCTCATCAAGAAGACGATAGAGTGACAAAGATTATGTCAAGCGGGGTTTATAATTTCTGTGCAAATTTTCTTCTTGGATCGAAAAATTTCATTTTAATTCGATTAACTTACGATAGGTGGCAAAAGGTCTAAAGGTAGGTCACGTGACACAAAACAACGAATCATATGACACGAAACAATGATTCATTCGCCAGATGGCGCAGTTAAATGAGGTCAATTTTACGACAAACGAAAACCGTTTAGCTAAGCTTCAATTTTGCTCTCGCAGTCGAACGAAACTGACACTTCTTTCGTTGATATCTAGGTGAGTGATTTTTTTCAGGCTCCGGTATTTTGACAAAAGTAAGTTCACGTCGTAGCCATTCTTAGGGGCAGGTTTGAGGCACCAACGATTTATTTTGAAGTTTTTCTAAGGAATTATTCCCGATTTCCGATATTGTCCCTTTAACAACTTTTATTACATCCGTTATCATTTTAATAAGGAGCTAATTAGAGAAATTAAATACGTTTTTTATGTTCACACGGACTCGTAAGCAAAAGAGAAAACGTTATCGGATTCACTTCACTACGTATCACTATAATTAGTGGTTCGCTATCAGAATAAACTAGAAAATAGCTGTTTTTAGCGTCTTGTGCTGATCTATTATCTGTCATGCGACATTGTACATCTAACTTGTAATTAAAAGTGATAGCGAAAGGTAGATGTAGATACATGGATGTAAACACATATTACTGTCACGTTGTTTTAGTTATAGTTGGAAATAAAATCATTTTCAAATTCCAAATATGTTCGCTGTATTTGGAGAACGCCTTGTTCTATGGTACTAATTGCAATTTTTTTTTAAAAAACAGTAATAAAACTGAACTCAATCCAACAAACATTTGGTTTTCAGCCACAATTTGACCTACGCAATAATCATAAAGAATTCCGGTGGTGATTTTTATGTGCCATTTTATTACTAACCATCTGTGAAAATTACTCTTTAACTTACCCGTTTACGTTCTGGTTGCAAAAAAACATTAATTCTCCAAATCTAGTACTTAAACGCAAACAAGTTAACTCGTACGAGCTGCAATTTTTTAAGAGTCGATTAAATAATATTTACAACTCGGCATTAATACTCCCGAATCTTGCTCTCTCGGTGATGATGGCGTGGTTAAAGTGCATCATATTATCCAGGTCGCAATACTTACTAACAACCTTGCTTTCGTAAGTTACCCCCTCCATGGGTTTCATTGATGGCGAATAAAATACATGACGTCACTTTTCATTGATGTTAAGGATCTGAAGACGCTTGGAAAACTTCAGGAAACGAATGTACTAAGTACTAACCCCCTGCCCTGAATTATTCACTCTTGCCTGCATAGTTGCCGTAAGGATGAACGGATGTGAGGGTAAAAACTGTGCACACGTCTTTACAGTGTGCTTATTTGACGCATCATTTGATCGAGAAATACTCTTCCAAGATATTTAAATATTGATTGAAAATACCAAACGAAATGATTAAATTGAAATTACTTTTTTATAATGATAAAGCAGTTCTTCTGATATGACTTACCGGAGTTTTGCCGATTCCAGTTTGTTTGCTGTTGTCGAGACCAACTTTGGTCGTGATACGCCGAATGCCAGTCTCCCAAACTGACTTGACTATGCATAGGCATACTATACATTTTATAAACTGATAATATAATAACGATAACACTATTTCCCTTAATTGTATGCTCATTAACATATGTAAATGTTTCCCTGGTGTATTTTCCTAATTTATTTGTTTTCGTTTTGTTTTTGCAATTATGTTTTATGAGCTATTATTTTTCTGCTGATCTGAAAGTAATGTGACACGATGGGGGCCCTGTATCCTCTCCCGGTCCATCCACAACTTCTTATTCAAGATGATTTCTCATATGAATTATTACTGAATATGAATATGTAATGATTCAAAACGTGATGTTTGAATTAAGGAAATGAAGATTAAAGTCAAAACACCGCCAATTTGGAAGAGACGCTATTATCTTGCATGATACATGTAGCTAAAGGCAAGTTTTGATTGTCAAAAAAACTTACCGTTATAAGTGATCGCCCTTAAATGATGGTACAACTGCGCCCCAAACGGATAACTTAAAGTATGCATCGCATAAAAGCACCATTGTTAGTCACACTATTATCTAATTATTACACATGCTAATTATCTTGATCACTAGCTGAGATAGACCTTTGTCCAGGAAAAAAACGGAACCTGTTTTAGTGCCGCTGTTAGCACAACTTTATTTGCGCCAAGACTTAAAATGACGAATGGTGAAATGCATTTTTTATTGCTAATAATATAATCAATTGATAAATTAAATGTCACAATAAATGTGTAACTTGTAATTTTGCACGTACATCTATCAAGGCATGTCATTTATATAATTGTTTCTGAAACACCTGTAGACTGGTAGTTACTATTAAAAATGACAACCGTTTCCATAGTGACCTTAAGAATATTCATAGTTCTGAGAATTGTTGTTTACCTGTCAATGAAAGTTTTTATTAGAGATAGGCACCTGAATGCTGGTTCCCTTGGTAATCGTTTGATAAAACAATAAATTAAAACAATAAATAAGTACTAACAATCAAGTGTTTGTTAATTCTTACCCTCAAAATGCTGGTAGAAATTGTGAGGTGATGTGAGTTTTGCAACTTCCATATACATTTTCATTCTTCACTCCACGTGCCTCCCACACACCGCACCATAATATACTACATCATAAATTGCCGCGATT